TTAAAATTTTGTATGAAGAGGCACTGTGATATCATCTCCCCTCCCTTACCACGGACGTTAGATTTTCTTCCATCGCTGTTTGACTCAGGTTTGTCTTATCGCTCAATCAACTCGGCGAGGTTTGCTTTATCTTCTATTTTGCAGTTAAGTGATAGTGAAGTCACTTTCGGACAGCTACCTATTGTTTAGCACTTTATGAAAGGTGTATTTGAACTGCGCCCGGCTCTACCGCGTTACCAGACAACATGGGATGTTAGCATGCAAGGTCTTATAGTTTTTTCGAAAGCAGCCTATACCTTCCGCGCTGACTTTGAAGGAGGTTACTGTTAAAGTTTCCTTCTTATTGACCTTACTCAGTGGACAACGCTGTCAAACTATTCATCTTCTCACTGTCGATAACATGATTCTCGTTGCGGACAAGTGCACTTTCCACGTCATGGAGAAAGTCAAACAGACACGTGTCGGAACTCATGTCAAACCCCTCGAGTTTTTGAAATATCCATTTGAGCCTCAGCTTTGCGTCGTTACTCATCTCTTAGAGTATATCAAGAGAAATGATGAAAATAGCCATGATAGAAAGCAATTGCTACTGAGTTATGTAAAACCGTATGGATCTGTTTCCAAAGATACTATATCTCGATGAATAAAGTCTGTTTTGGTAGCTGTATAGGTTTATATGTTAGCAAACTTAAAGGTCATAGTGTTCGAGCAGCAACTACATCCTTTTTAGCGTCCAATAACTGTAACATTAAAGATGTTATGTTATCCGCAGGATGGTCGAATAAACAGACATTTCAACGGTTTTATAATAAACCGAGCGAGGAGGAATTTAATTTTGGCGCTTCGGTGTTAGAGTGCTATACAAACGTTAATTGTTCCTAGAATATATAATATACTATATATATAATGTACTTCTCTATATATCGAGATGTCTTTCCACTTGGTTTTATCACCCTGGCTATAGTTAGAGTGCATGGTTTGTGTATCTCTGCAGGACAAAGCCCTCGCTGATTGCTCTGAAATCTCGTACAACGTCACAAGACTTAGGCTGATGACGAAATAGAATTGAAAATTAAACGAGACTTACCTGGAAGTTGAAGTTGGATTTGGCCTCGAGTGTGAGAGTTGTACGCCCCCCCCCCCTGTTCTCTCCCATTCCCTTACTTGCAGTCCACTCTCACACTCATCACGTCCGTGCGGTCTTTGTCTGGTAAAGCTCTAAAGACTGATTGGCGCATGCGCTGCACTCTCTCTCGTACAACTCTCTGATTCCAGGCTGATGACTCATACAATCCAAATCAAATTTCAACTTCCAGGTAAGTCTCGTTTAATTTTCAATTTTATCTCTTGTGAGATAAGATTTAAATTCAATGCCAATGATTCTCGATATGAATGAAATAAACAATGATTTTTGTTTCCAATAACAAAGATATGTGCGGCATCTTTTTCAAGTAAACTTTCTTGAAAGAAACACGACTGTTTGGAAATTCAGTAGCAAGTAGCCATAAGTGGCGGACACCTCTCTGAAGCAACGTTTACAAGTCACTCCAATTACCATCCGATTTTTTGTGCGATTTTCGTCTTTTGATTGATGTGAACGAGAAAATAGTTATGATGTAATGGTGTGTAGGTGTTATTATCTGAACAATCATAACTAAATCTACTTGTTTACATCTATCAAAAGAAGAAGATGGGGGCAACAATTGCAAATGTAAACTTGTCTTAATACATGCACCTCTTCAATACAGACATCTCTCTGATATGAACATATTTTCAACTGCACAATTCGTCAAGTCAGGAATGGTTAAGATTCATCCTCTGCTAATGATGTGAATTATTGCAAGTGCGTGTGAAGAGATAAACAATTGTGATATCAACAGCTCGTATAACTCAGGTATATTTACTGCATTCGTTTATTCATTCATTCGTTCGTTCATTTGAGCCGAGCTCAAACTCTTGGCTGAGTTAACAACCTCAAGAGACAGTCGAAACTCTCTGCAGAGAAAAACTTCACAAACTACACACGGTTAAATTTTGTTAGATTACATCTGATGCCTGTCTGTCGTCATGCTGGATTTTGATTTTGAAGAGCGAATGTTGTATTGTAATTATTTTATCCATGTTCTGGTATAACACGAGTTTACTCGCAAGGTTTTAAAAAGCAATTATTCTGGTGGGAGCTAACTCAACTGATCATGTACAACTCTTTCATTCCTTGTAGATAACTGTGATTTTACGCGTGGTAAATATTGTCATTGGGTCCGTGATAAAAACCAGCGCTGCTATTGACAAACAACAAAGAGAAGATTGAGACAATCCAGGAAGACTGGACCCAGTCGAGACCACACTACAGACTCAGGTATGAAATAAGAGTGATCTCATGACCACCATCATTATTATGAATAGTCATTACCTCATTACTCTACATCGCTTCCATCATTGTCCATGATTGTCAATTGTTATCCATCGACGCACAAGATTATCATATTTAATCATACCAACCCATCCATAATTATACATCAACATCCCTGAACATCAATCATCATTCTCGTCTTCATTATCATGGTTGCGGCGATCTCCGTTGAGATTTTCGTTTTTTGATAGATGTGATCGTGTCGATAAGTTACGAGTTTTCAAATAAGGGTCCTTAAACACCGAGCTTTTGTAAATATTCATTCATCTCAATCTGGCTTAGATCAGATGTCATAATAGATATTTACGAGACGTCATCATTCGTTCGTGCTGAGTGAGAAATTTAAAAAAAGACTTCGCGAAACAGGCGGAAAGAGCGTTAGTATTCCTTACCTTGAATTGTTTAGACTGTCTCGTGAATCTAATAAAATAACTTGAGGTAAAACTTGATGCGTTTTTCCAATCATTTTCCTTGTTTTGATTGGGTTCCCTGTACACTCACTTTTCTCGACATGACAAACGCCCCCATATTGGAATGAATTTACTCTCTAACAAGTAAACAATAAGCGTTGAATTCATTCTTGAAATAACTTTAATCTATCATTTTTTACTAAATATGTGATTGATTGTTTCAACTCATAATCATAGAAAAGTTTGATTTTAACTCTTCAAGTGGGAACGTCAAGCCTTGTGTCAGCAACAGTCTGCACCTGATTTACTTTGCTTTAAAATTTGATTGATAGCTCTATTAAAATGAGCATTATTTTAAACCTTGGGAACTAGGCTGGAAACTTCTCAAAGAAGAAAGTACGTGACACAAATCATTAGGATCCCCGCCACGTTCTTTATACTATAAAAACAATTTGAATTTTTGCAAGCATTACCAAAGATACGTAGATCTCGTTCAAATACACTTTTCTCTGATCCCAGTTCGATATCATGGAAAAGAATATTGTGTTAAGATGATCGTAAGAAACTCTGTTAATGAGTGACAGGAATATTTGTGTAAAAAGCCCGCACTAACATATTGTAGGTGAAGAAACTTAGCGGGATTCCCGCCTGGAAATTTCCATATGGTAAAATTACAGGATGAACATACCACAAGATTGTGAGGAATTCAACGCAAGAATGAATCTGCTTTGACATATTGTCGTGTGTTTAGTCAAAGTTTAGCAGTCGCTTGGAGTAAAGAAACTTGGTATGTCTTCAATTGTGACAAGTATTCTCAGCAGGGGCGCCGGAACCACGGGGGCAGCGGGGGCAGCTGCCCCCCCTGCCCTTTGTTCACGGGGGCAGCGGGGGCAGCTTGCCCTTTATATGTTCATAGGCATTGAATGTATATATTTTCAGGCAATTTGGGAATTAATTCCCAATGAATCGTTGCAAACTTGTAGTTGTCAGTTTTTATAGTCATCGGCCGATACTCCTACTGCCTACTGACAAGTTTAAAACCCGTGTAAAATTGAATTGCTACTCCATTCCGCTGTCCACTGGTGTTTTTTATACGGTTGTGGGTTGCGTAAGAGATAAATGGCGGACGCGCGAGGGTATGACGGTTGTCCCAGGGATAATTAGGGATTGATGTACACATGCACAAGGAAATATGGGAGCTTGCCTATCCAAAGCGAATTGATATGAATTATTGATAAAGGTAATTTCATACATATTATTGATATTAAGTATTCAAAGCTCTTCTATCTCGATCAGTATTCTAGGACCTAGGTTTCTTGCCAAAGAAGTGTACATTGAAAAGTGTACAGGTGAAAATGCCAAAGCATGAAGGGTTTTAGGTTTACTATTTCACAATTATTTACCAAATGTGAGCTGTGATAACAAGCCATCTCGTAAATATGCAGCTTGTAATTAACGAACCTGAGGTCACTAATTGTTTGAGTATAATTTCCCAGAGAGAAAACAGGGCCTAAAAATTTGTATAATTGTATTTTCGCAAATTTCTAGATTTCATGTTTACAATGGCTTTAAAACGAAAGAGTGCTTTGCAAATGTTTTAGGGAAGTCAGTTCAAGCGTAGTTTTGCTTCTTGTAGTATTTTTATTTAAGCACGAGTATTTTCATTTGTATATTTCGGTATATTGACACTTCGCAAATTTGAGTATTTGACCGAGGTGGCGACATGGCGTGCGCTGAGAGAATAATGGCGCCAGCGCTACTATATGTCAGCACTTGAATAAAGAAATACTTCATCTAAAAGCAATCTAATAGAAGGCCACCTGTGACTTGTAAAATATAAAACACAGATGTTTACTTTAAAGATGCTTACTAGATGTTCCCTTTACGAGTTCCGATACTTAAATTATATAAAAAACTCTTTCAGTGACAATACAATGCCAAGAGCAAATCGCTTGCAAAGTGTTGCTAGGAAGCAACTTTTAGAAGCTTCTAAAGCTAGGGGCCAAACTAAACTGTCCTTTTCCACACAATCTATCGCTTTTAATGATAATGCTGAGTGTACCACAGAAGAGAGACATAGCAGTGTTAGTGATGCCTCCACTTTATGTGATGAAACAGACGATCCTTGGATTAAAGCCACGAATTATGACTTTCGTTTTACATCGAGCGTGAAAAAAATGAGTGAAAACAAAGGAAGGTATTTTCAAAAGGAATGGTTTCATCACCATAACTGGTTGTGGTACCACCAAGAAAAAAGGGCTGCGTTTTGTGGAGAATGCACCTTGTTTCGACAACCACATGATTACTCGCCGTTTATCTTCTCCGATAAGGCAGAAGGTTTTAAAAACTGGAAAAAAGGCAAGGAAAGAATAGAGGAACATGAACGCAGTGAACAGCATCGAAGTGCTGCTAAAGAATCCAAAAAAGACCAACCTGACGTAGCTTGTCAAATAGATAGTGAGCGACGAAAGCAGCAACAACTGAGACAGACTGGTTTAGTCGCTCACTTGGATACTATGAAAACTCTCTTAAGGCAGGGACTTGCTATTCGAGGTCATCAAGATGAAGAATCCAATATTGCTCAATTTAATAGGGACAAAGCCAAAAGTAACCCCGGCTTGAAAATGCTAATAAGTGAAAAATATTTCTCTCACGATATCCTAAATGAGCAAGAAAGATTGATAGTGTTGAATGCAAGACGAACATTAGTTGAAGAAATTAATTCAAACAATTTCTTTTCTATCATATGTGATGAAGCAAGCGATATTTCAAAATTGGAGCAATTGTCGTTTTCAGTCCGAACTTGCAACAACAGTTACGAGACAACCGAAAACTTCATTGGCGTATTGTCATGCGACCAAGGCTTGACATCAGACGCTTTGTTGAAGTATATTCACGACATAATGTTGCGATGCAATATGGACACAAAAAAGCTCGTTGGCACAGCTTTTGACGGAGCATCGTCTATGACACGACTTGCCGCACTCATGAAAGAAAAGTTTGGGGATAACATAATCCATATCCACTGTTTTGCACATTGCAATGAGCTTGTGTTTAAAGATGCCACAAAATTGTCCCCGTTGATTGCTGAAGCACAAGATCTGTGCGAAGATTTGTATGTTCTAGTGGGCGTGAGTCCAAAACGTGTCCTTCTTTTTGAGAATATACAAAAAGAAATCGCTAATTCTTCAGAGAGCTTCTCAGAGATTCTGAAGTTAAAGAATTTATCTCGAACAAGATGGACGACAAGAGGTTCAGCAGCTGCGGTGCTCATAAAAAAAACTCCAGAGTTACAAGAGGCGTTAGAAATCTTATCAAAGGATCTTAGCATCACTCCTGAGTGTCGTGCAAAATCACGTGGATTGCTTGGAAAAGTTAGATCAGTGCGACCGATGTTTCAAGTGGTTGTTATGCATGAACTTGCAAATTTATTAGAAAATAATTCCAAGAATTTACAATCCGCATCACTCACGGCAGAACAAGCAGTTTATAGTATAAAGAAATTGCAAGTGCGTCTACAGGAGATAAGGTCCGAAGAAGAGTTTCAACGTCTGTATGAGCAGACAATGAAGTTGGCAGAGTTACGAGAAGAACATGAAACACAAAAGTCAAAAAGGCAAAGAAAAGCTCCATGTCGTCTGTCCGAGTATGTTGCTCATTCAAGTTCGCCATCATCTGCGACAGAAATGAATATTACAACGGAATTACTGCGTATTTATTATGAAGCTGTTGATGCTGTGGTGGAAGCACTACAGGGACGTTTTCGTCAAGAAGATTTAGAGATTCTTGAAGCAATAGAGTCATGTTTACTTGCAGCAGCAAACAAAAAAAATTCCTCAGAAGAAGTTCGACCACAGTTAAAAAGTTTACCAGCAGTTATTAATACTGATATCTTGGAGGAGCAGCTAAAAGAGCTACCAGTTGTGTTAAAGCTTTACAACGCAGAACATGCATTACCTATCAAGACGGTCACCACCCTATCGACGCTTTGTGAAATTTTGAACTCTAGAAAGAGCATCAAGGAATGCCTTTCGGAAGTTCATAAACTGTTGACATTTTACATGTCAGTTCCCATCAGCTCCGCTACAGCAGAAAGAACTTTTAGCACAATGCGCCGTATCAAGTCATGGCTCAGATCGACCATGTCCGAGAACACCCTAAATAATAGAATGTTCGCTGCTATCCACAAAGGACGAATTGACGAAATAAATAGCGAAAATATTGCTAAAGAGTTCATAGTGGCAAACGAACAACGGCGACGTTATTTTGGAAAATGTTAATTAAAAGGTTTAATTAACTCTATCGTGGAATAACTAGTTTGTTACTGTTTGTTTATATAATTTCATCATTTCAATTTTTCATTAAAGCATTATTACATCTTTATTTTGTAATTTTTGTTCTTTAATATCGGTTTATTGCCGAAAGCAGAAGCGCACAACGTTGAATTCCATAAGAAACCATTCTTTATTTGAAGATTGAAAAAAGACATGCATTTTCTAACTTTAAGTCTAACTTTTTTTCTTGTTTTCTTAACAAACTAAAGTGCCCTTTTTCGAGTTGCTGCCCCCCCTGCCTTTGACTGTGTCCGGCGCCCCTGATTCTCAGTTCAACACTTGGTTTATTATGGAATAAGGTCAGAGACTCGACAGCAGACAAACTCAAAGAAGGCGACGTAACCGATGCAGAAATTCGAAAGATTGTCGTACGAGAGTTAAATGATATCAAGTCTAAAATCGATGGCCTTTCTAGATCAACTTTACTCGCCAGTTATAATTTTCTAGAAGAAGGAGTAGAGTTACTCAGTGTTTCTCTTGATAAATCAAATCCGGAGCAGAAAGAGAGCGAAACTCCGGACGAACCAGGTGAACCTTCGAGCGTTATTCAGTCTGGTATTTTAAACCAAGCAATAGAGCTTCCTCGCGCCATGGAAAAGCTTAAAATCAACTCGGACAGAGAGTTTGAAACTGCGAGAAAAAGACTCGAGAAAGCGCGCGAGAAAGCAACAACTGCTTTTTGGAATGAGGCATTTAGTATCGAAGATCGAATTTTTGCTGCGAAGCTACGAATAGTTTCAGAAATACTGGAACATCTCGATAGTCCTGAGACCGCTATCACTGGGTGTTTGTTGTTTTTAAAGAAGCTTCATAGCTTACCAGCCATTCAAGAGATATTCTCGGTGTATTTGAACGGTGGAGTCAAATCGTTGTTGAATAAAACTCAACGAGTGGAGAACGTCAAGTCGGTTATGTTAATAAACTATGTGCTGTTGCAATATGTCGGGAAATTCAGCAGCAAGCATTCGTTTGAAGTGTTCGCCTGCATGCCAACGATTGAACTTCCTGATCGTAGTTTTCACCCAATAAAAAATTGGAAAGAAATTTCAACAAGAAAGTCTATGGGAGAGGAATTACCTCATTCTTCCTACGAACAGTTCCTTGATGAAGAAATAAAACCCTACTGCTCTGCTGTGAACAGTCAGGGGGATGTTCTTACTGTCCCTCTTGGGTCTCGTGACGACATCATGATTATCCATGAGGCAGGAAAAATCAAACGGGTTAAAATACCTCAATTTGCAGGTTATTTTTTATTTGCGCTTGCTGTTGATATGAATAACAATGTTTACGTGGTGAGAAGACGTTCTCGTGAAGGATTCATGTTGACGATATTGGACGAGAATTACAATGTAAAAGCAAATCATACATTGGATTTTCTCGAGGACAAAAGTTTCTGTAATATTAAGATCGTGATATGCAAAGACGATGATATTATCATCATCCAAGGCGAAGACACTCATGTGTATGTTTGTGACAAGACGTGTCAATTGAAATACAAGTTTAAACGCGACTCGAGTGAGGCATTTTTATTGAGTATTTCCCAGCAGAATGAAATCATGATACCAACAGACGATCGTACAGCGGTTCAAATATACACCAAGGAAGGAAATTTGAAGACAACTTTAAAAGTCCCAGAAGATCATAAGGTATGGAGCGTGGCATTTCACTACGAAATTTGTAAAATATTGGTTTTAACCTGGAATTTAAAAAAAAAAAATTCCTATTTCATTCTGTGCTACCCTGAAGCAGGCGGGGAGCTGGAGACTCTTACCTTATTTTGTAAATATGGAGATATATCTTTTTCCAATCTGGTATCCCATCCCAAGGGTCCTGTTGTTGTTGTAAGAGATAGTGATGGGCGATACCAGCTTTTTCTGTTCGATACGATACCAATCCCGATACCATAAATTTTAGTCGATACCGATACCAAAATCGATACCGATACTTAATTTTTTTGCATATATTAAAATTCTTTAAAACAACAAACATTACATACAATGATATATTAAATGAATATACAATGAATAATTGTATCAAATCTAAATTTTCAAATCTAAACAATATCAAAATATAAACATGTTTGATGCTCTCCTTAACTATATTGCTACATGTTTTTATTCAAGAACAGCATCATGTTAACATTCTTTGCCTTCAGCCTGTTCCGACGAATAGAAACAAGCTCACCCGCCTTAGAAAATAATCTTTCAGATGGAACAGATGTACCAGGAACACTTAAATATTTCTTGGCAAGTTGAGAGAGTAGACTAAAGCGTTTTTCATTTATCTTCCACCAGGATAATGGATCTTCTAATCTTGGCAGAACATCTTCACCAAAATATGTTCTGACTTCAACGGTTGCTTTGCTAGTGGAACTTCTTGCATTCTGTGAGTCGATCACCTTTTTATCGAAGAACTCCCACAAACCAGACGATGGTTCACCTACTTCACCACAGCTTTGCATATTACCATCTTGTTCTTCAGCAGGAAATTCTGTTGCTGCTGTGATCAAGTCTTTAGCTTCCTGAGTGATCCACTGTTCCCCTTGCCGAGCAGCCTCGCTATTTGAAAAAGCCATCTTCTTCAACCTTGGGTCCATCAATGTTGAAAGAGCAAGGAGGTGAGCACGCTCTATTGCGGTGTATCTTCGACGCATTTGAGCACTCAATTCTGATCCAAGTGTGGTTTCATGTGAACGTCCAGCAGTTATGTGTTGAAGTGATCTTGCCAATGGTATTGCCTTCGAAATGGACACATATTTGTCGGCTGAGATCTCCCTTGTAGCAGCTTCGAATGGTTGTAAAATAGACAGTGACGCTTCTAGTAATTTAACATCTGCAAGTGAAAGGCACAATTCATTGCGACTATTCAGGCAAAGAGCTGTTGTGATTGCTTGGTGTTGCTCAAGAATTCGTTCAAACATGTAAAATGTTGAATTCCACCTGGTGTCTACCTCCTGGATAAGCTTATGTTCTGGAAGTTTGAGCTGAAATTGTACTTCCTTCAATTTCTCAGTGGCTTTTACACTCTGATGGAAAAACGTCACAATTTGCTTACATCTTTTTTTTAAATCATTAACTCTTTCATCTGACTTAATTGCCTCGGAAACAATTAAGTTTAATGTGTGCGCAAAGCAAGGGACGTGTATCCAGCCAGTGATTTTCACAGCTGCAACAATATTCGAAGCATTATCTGTAACAATGGCAACAACTTTGGTTGATATATTCCAATTATCTGCGACCTGCAAGAGCGCATCAGCAATATGCTGAGCAGTGTGGCTCAAGTCAAATTTTAGAGTCTCTAAGACCAATGACATAAGCTCCCATGTAGCTGTAAGGAAATGACATGTGATGGTGATATAGCTTTCTGTAGTTCTGGATGTCCACAAGTCACTTGTGAGGGCTACATGTGAAACTTGGGAAATTTCCTTCTTCATTTCTTCCACTTTCTTGTTATAGGCATCAGGCAACATCCTCATGATAGATTTTCTAGAAGGGAGTTGGTACCTTGGGTCAAGTACATGTAACAGAGATTGAAACCCCTCATCCTCAACTACAGATACAGGTTGCATATCTTTTACAATCATTCTGAACACAGCTTCGTCGATTGTTTTTCGTTTCGTGGAAGTAGAAGAGTATTTGCTTTGTTGGGTTAGCAATTTCTGTATGGTGTTTTGCTGTGCCTTTGGAGTGACACCTTTTTTCTTCTTGATTTTTGTGTTCTCCCTCTCATTTTCTTTTCGTTTTTGCTCAGCCTCTTTATACTGAATGGGGTGCTTTGACTTCAAGTGCTAAAGAAAGTGACACATAAAACAATAATGCAATGAGACAGTGGATAGTTGGGACATAATGGGACAGGGGATAGTGGACTTCTAATTTTCTCACCAATTCTAGAAAAATAGACGTTAAATTGTTCTGCTATTTTGGTTTTATTATCCTCGTCGCGACCATTGATATTCAGCTTGCTTATTTGTCTAGTATTCTTCTTCTTTGAACCAGTTAGTATTTTCATTGACCTCCAAAAATTAAATAAATTTCGACGGATTATACTTTTATACTACAACATACCTTGAATAGATTGGTAGTGTTTAACGAGTGTTTTAAAGACTCCGAACATATTGTGCATTGTGCTTTTTCATCTTCCTTTGATAACTTCTTAAAATAGTCCCATACGACGCTTTTAGTAATAAGCTGGCGTTTGCCAGTTGACTGTGTACTTGCAGTTTGAGTTTCACTCGCATTTTCATCGTCTAAAATCACAAAATTGCACTCTTCAGAAAAAAGCTATCCACTGCACAATTAACTGAACTTGCAAACTGATAATAAAAAGAATTTATCATATACCTTCATCCATAATTCATTATTTCATCATTTGAATTTCTGTACTGAATCAACCACAAAGTGAAAAAGGCGCGACTTTATACATCTTTGCAAAATAAAGTATCCCCGAACACTGACAAAAATTTTGCAGGCTCGGTATCGAATCACCGATACTTTTTGCGAGTATCGAGAGTATCGATACTTTTGTTAGTTTTGTAAGTATCGGTGACTTCGATACTTTATCGATAGTATCGCCCATCACTAGTAAGAGACAGGCGCATCACTTACCTTTAATGAGATTTAGTATGAACTCTAAACAAACATTTCCTGCATAAAACGCAGTAATATAATTTGTAAGACTTTGCTCAGATTGCTGAATAATCCCAGTAAAGTATTCCTGTTTCTGTTGTAAGAGAGACAAGTGTAACTTATATTTAAATAATTTAGAATATATAGTTTTTTGACTTGCAAACATGGACAATAAGCTTTTAATGACATTTAAAAGTGTATGAATCCTATTTCATATGATATAATATAGTGAAAAGTTTCTTTGCTCTTGTAATAAATAATCAGGTTTTTAACATAATAAACTTATGAAACCACCCCTGGCTAAGCTTAGAGCTATGATTAGTGGGTATATTGATGGCTTCTATCTGCAGGGTGATACATATGCTAAGTGTGCTACAAAGGCTCTTGACACAGTTGAAACATTTGACTGCCTAGATCTAGTTATCTATCCTGATAAGTCCACTCCTTCCCCTTCTCAAGAGGTAATTATCCTAGGATTTGTCATTAACTTGATAACAATGACTATCCAAGTTACAAATGAGAAAAGAGGAAAAAATTTAAAAATTTTTGTTTCATGTTATTCAATGTCCTGTGTTTTAAGTTTATTCTCTTTGTAACAGATACGTATATTTATATATTTATTTCCTAAACTCAGTCCAACAAATTACAACCTTTTCACTTCAAGTCTCTGTCCTTCACGCCCACTTATCAATCACAACCCTCCTAACAACTTATTAAATATTAACCCCATTATTAATAATATCAACCTTATTACATAATGTAACATCCAGCAGACATTCCTATCCAGCAGGTAGCCAAGATTATTGGTTACCTAGTCTCCTCCTTACCTAGGGTTCAGTATGGGGCTCTTCATTATTGGTACCTTGAAATGGATAAAAAAGATGATCCTAAAAGAGCTAAAGTAAATTTGGATTCCTCTATGACTGTCTCTGAGGATGGCTTGATAGAGTTACGATTGTGGGTCACCCATTTTGAAGAGAGTTTTAGATTTCTTTTCATTCCTCCTATTGATATAACTATATACTCTGATGCACCTCTAGAAAGATGGGGAGCTGTACTAGGTGATACATCTTCAGGGGGAAGATGGTTGCCAGATGAATGCACCCATCACATAAACTACATTGAACTTTTGGCTGCATTTTTTGCTCTTAAACTGTTCTGCATCACTCTTAAGTGGTGTAAGCATGTAAAACTCATGATAGATAACACCACAGCAGTAGATGTAATGAATAACATGGGTTCTTGTCATAGCCGTATTTGCCGCTCTATGGGCTGTGAAACCTGGAAATTTTGTATAAAATGCAACATTTGACTGCCTAGATCTAGTTATCCATCCTGATAAGTCAACTCCTTTCCCTTCTCAAGAGATAATTATCCTAGAATTTCTCATTAACTTGATAACAATAACTATCCAAGTTACAAATGAGAAAAAAGGGAAAACTTAAACAATTTTTGTTTGATGTTATTGAATGTCCAGTGTTTCAAGTTTATTCTCTTTGTAACATATACGTATATTTATATATTTATTCCCTAAACGCAGTCCAACAAATTACAATCTTTTCACTTCAAGTCTCTGTCCTTCATGCCCACTTATCAATCACAACTCTCCTAACAACTTATTAAATATTAACTCCATTATTAATAATATCAACCTTATTACATGATGTAACATCCAGCAGACATTCCTATCCAGCAGGTAGCCAAGATTATTGGTTACCTAGTCTCCTCCTTACCTGGGGTTCAGTATGGGGCTCTCCATTATAGGTAGCTTGAAATGGATAAAAAAGATGCTCCTAAAAGAGCTAAGGGTAATTTTGATTCCTCTATGACTGTCTCTGAGGTTGGCTTGATAGAGTTACGATGGTGGGTCACCCATCTTGAAGAGAGTTTTAGATTTCTTTTCATTCCTCCTATTGATATCACTATATACTCTGATGCACCCCTAGAAAGATGGGGAGCTGTACTAGGTGATACATCTTCAGGGGGAAAATGGTCGCCAGCTGAATGCACCCATCACATAAACTACATTGAACTTTTGGCTGCATTTTTTGCCCTTAAACTGTTCTGAACCACTCTTAAGTGGTGTAAGCATGTAAAACTCATGATAGATAACACCACAGCAGTAGCTGTAATAAATAACATGTGTTCTTGAAACGTTAATTGTTCCTAGGATATATAATTGTAGTGCATTAGCACAATTAAGTAATGAAGTGTGACTAATGAGCATGCAAATTAGAATAAGTGTACAGGGTGTCTCCAAAAAAACGCAATCACTTAAATATTCGAAAAAATTAATACAGCTCTAAAGCGCAATAGATAAGCACCTCTGGGAATTGAAAATGGCTCTTAATCCTTCATTTAAAATGCTAAAAGTAATTTTAGCCGAACTATTGTGCAAACCCGAACAATATTAATATTCTTGCACATTTAAGTGTTGCGTTTTTTTTGAGACACCCTGTATATTGACAGCGATTACATGCAGTGTAGGTTTTAGTGTATGTTTTTGATCGCAAGAAGCGGCTGAAGGCCAGATTAAGAATCAGTCAGAACAAGTTGTGGACGAGCGAAGACAACTAGTCGGTATTGTTATTGAAGACACGGGAATGAGGGCGAGAGAAATATGTTTGTTGTTAACTGAGCAGAAGAGAATTATAAAGACGCAGCAAGTAATGAAACAGTATAGTTCATTGAGGAGATAAGAGATTGGCAGCGAACACGAACAGAATTATTAAACGAATTAAAGGAGTCGCGAATGAAGTTTTAACAATTAATCGTCGGTTAAGTGATTTTTGAAGCGGATATTTACTGTAGATTTGACAAATTGAGACGAGGGATCATCGAAGAAGGGAAAGTTAAAGACGAAACTGAAGCTTTAGATATGTACTCAAGTCTTCTGGCGTCGACAATCGAGGATATGAAACAAGAAATTAAAGCGGAATTTAGCCAAGAGATTAGCAAAGACATTGATGATAAACTTTCTTGCATACAAAGTGACTCAACACCTCAAGTAATCGGGCGCGTGCGAGTAAAACCGGTTGACAACACTTTTGGAGAAATACCAAAGTTATCAAAAACAAGAAAATCGGGCGAGTACAGTTCAAAGAGCGATACATCAATATTACATGAAGTACATCAACCAACGCAGAGACCAACAACATTTAATTATGATGGCAAAACGTCCTGGGATACATATAGAACACAATTTGAAATTGTCGCACAAATATAAATGGCTTGGACGATCGGGAAAAGGCAGCTTTTCTTTCAACCAGTTTGCAGGGACAAGCAGTAAACGTCTTAAATTGTCTGTCAGATTCAAGTAAGCGTGACTACAAAACTCTGTTGCAAGCATTAGATCGCCGTTACGGGACCTTGTGTCAGTCCGAATTAAATCGAGCTACTTTACGAAATCGTTTACGACGTCGCGACGAAAGCCTCCCAGAATTGGCTGGAGACATTGAAAGATTGCTTGGACTTGCATATCCTAATATCACGTCAGAAATGCTTGAAGCCTTGGCTGAGGATCATTTTGTGGATGCGGTGTACGACGACGAGATTCGCTTACGAATTGCGCAGAGCAGACCACTATGAAACTACACTGCGACAAGCCTTTGAACTTGTCTTGGAGTTAGAGTCGTTCGCACTGGCCAGCAAACGACGGTCGTGGTATGTGCGCGAGATCCGGATTGAAGAACCCCGAGACCAAACTCGATAACCAAAACCACTCCGTGGAAGAGTATGATGGATCAACTAAATGAATTGACAAAAGAAATGAGAAATTTCACCGGCAAAATGGGCAGACAGCCAGACATGAATACAAGGTTTAACAGATCAACTTCACCTCCGTGGAAAT